ATTTCCCACTTGTTGTTGTTTTTGTCACATCGACTTCCGGTCGTTTTGTAAAATTAAAATCCAATAAAATTAAGCTATATTTCCAAGAATACAAACGCATCGAATTTAATAAAACAATTATTCCATTCGCGCTTGTTGGATATGAGATTGGTTATAGCCAACTCGGCCCTGCGGGCCTCGTTGGCTATTTACCATCTCATATCCAACGCACGCTCATGGAATAATTGTTAATTATCTTTCATATCTCAGATTCTTGACTTGATTTAGTACATGGTTTACATTTTTTGTTTTTGATGGCATGACAGTGAAAACCAGCTATATGTCATTTTATTACCTACTTGTTAACCGAGACTGAGGTCTTTACGGGAAAATCCTAAACCGAGACCTCGCTGTATTGGTAATACGGCAAGGCCGAGGGTTGAGATTTTCCCGTAAAGACTGCACTCGTCCCGTGGTCATTACGGGAGATTAATGCCCTAGAACTAGCCAATGTAATAATAAGCAGTAATTCGTAGAAAATAGATATCTAAACAGTAAAACTTACCAACCCACGGTATCCAGTTCTATAAACGTTACTTTTGAGATTGTCCCAGACTACTCTGGCCCCAGCCCTCGTCAAGTGCTCCCAAGAAGTGATCTCAGACAGTCTACCAACATGCCCACTGCCGCCGTCTTGGTTCCTCCATTTCCAGTCTTTACCTCGAGACACTTTGGCTCCAGGAAAAAATCCTCTGGATTTCAGCTTAACGGAGTTGAATCGATTACAAGGATAACTCCTAAGGAAGAGGTGATTGAGAATACGGGCAGATGTTTGCGGATGATAAGGAATTAAGAGTTTCACACCAGGGCATATGCGTAAGGACTAGAGGTACAAGGAGTGTCCGTAACGTTATGGTAATAGACCATATTCGTATTCTCGGTAGTGGACTGGAACTAGCTTGCAAATGAGGCTGCAGGGGTCTTTTCAAATGCAAATGACATTTTTCTCTTTTTAATGATATTCCCCGCATGAGCCTCCATTTCAAGCTATTTCCAGTCCAGTACCAAGAATAGGAATATGGCCCAACGGGGAGCTTTAAAGCAATGACGACAGGCATGGCATGGACGACACCTATTAATAAATGAATTTAGTATGATTTCAGAGCTGAACAAAGAGTTTCCAGCAATCTGATTGGTCGAGAGATTTCTTATATGACGCTATATTCACCGCTCCAGGCGGTGAATTTAACATTTTCGAGGCCTGATTACTAAGCTCGCCACCTTTGCCATCTCGCCATCTCGCCATCTCGGCAAGTAAACCAGGCGGACAGTTGCTGAATCAAACTTTTATTTATTCGAAAGACATCACTTATAATCGACTTCGTCTCGGTGAATATTCACCAATGTTCACCTCGCCTTCGGCGAATAATTGTTAAATATATTTTATCTTTGAATTTCACAATCATCTAGATCTGTTCCGTGTGTGCCTATCGGTCTTAAAACTTAACGACCGGTGTCTGTTGCTAAAGAAAATACGAAACATTGGCTGCGGTCGTTAAAGTTCTCCAAAATAACCAGAACTTTCTCATTTTAAGTTGCTTGTTTACGTAGGACGATTAAGAAATGACCGTGGCACAGCCTTTGATCTGCTCATTAAACATTTTGTTTGGTGACGTTCCCCTTGCAGTTGCCGTCGTGGTTTGCTGAAGCTCCCTAATTAATAAACCCGGGTGGGGACATCACTTTTCCCCTCCGGAAAATGACATCATCGGGTGAAAGGGCTTATACATAAGGGGGTTAGGCCATTGTCATCATTTTTCACCATGGGCTGACAACTATCCCCTTCGGAATAATGACATCATCGGGAGAAGAAAGTAAACATGGATGGGACGACGTGATATATTTTATAGGATGACACCATGAAATAGCACCCGTAACAGATTTGGAACGTTATTGAGTAGAATAAAAGCATTGCAACATGTTATAGAATTACTTTAGCAGAGAAAATTATTATTAAAATATAAATATAGTTTATTACTTACTTGGGGTGGAGGGGGGTGTGTGAATTGTGCAGTCTATATGGAAATGGTCAGTGTTTGGACATACAAAAACTATGGTTTGGATTATAAGTTGTATTCACGAAGTGTTTGGTTTTCATATAAAATCACCAGGGCGTCGCCATGTTTACTTTGTGTCATTGCGCGGTCAGAGATCTCAAGACAACCAAAGAATTCTCGTTGGAACTGTACATATTCATCAGGAATATGAATTTCTAACGATTAGAAGGACTTTTATATCTCTAGATTCATGCGATACTGTATTTTAGAAACGTTCAACTGCGCAATGTCTTCGTAATTTCCCATCGAGCTTCACAAAAATAAACATGGCGGCGAGGGGAAAATTTGAAATTCTAAAATAGCAGAAGCGAAACGCCCAGCATTCAATAACAGGCAAACAATTACGACCTCAAATTGCTGAAACAGTTAACTATTTTTAAACACAAACATTAAGGCTTGGGTCAAACGCCGCACTTCACATCTGCCGAACCCAACGACAGTTTGGCTCGACTCAAATAATTAAAAGAACGCCTGTTTACCGAACTGCTACACCAAACAAATAACAAAAGCGGTCTTGTTGGTCAGTGGTTTTTCAAGGTAAAGTCAAAATGGCGCCTTTAGACCTTTGATTATGCATTTGGTTATGCGGTCTTCAGGCGTTATTCACGGCTGGCCAGACGTGAAGAACGCCTCAGCCGCTCCAAATAAAATCAGTCGAGCTTAATTGGGTCAAACGCCGAACTTCACATGAGCCTAATTGGTTGAATTGGGTTCGGCTCATGTGAAGTACGGCGTTTGACCCGGGCCTAACTTGTGGTTTGGAACAAAACTGCTTTTGAGCCAAGATTCCCTTTACTGAAAGCAACGGTTCTTAAAGTGATCTCACACGATTTCTACTTTGCCCTTTAGAAAATGAAAGTATTAGACTGCTAAAGCTAATAGAGAGAGTTAACTTAGGTAATAGTAGTAAACAACAATTAGATTAAGAGTTTGAGAGATTTCTATGAGGTGACAGTTGATGAGGCCGAGGGCCGAATCAACTATCACCTCATAGAAATCGAGATCGAATAATATAATTGTTTTAGTAGAATTCTAACTGAAATTTGCTTTAAATAACGATTTCAATTACTTCTGGTTTTGGTATTAAGCTGGCTGAACACAGTTTTTGATACCTGTGTTTCATTCACCTTTTTCTCTAAAACCCTTGATCTCTCGGTCGCCAAAAATGGCAGCAAGCAAGTTAACAACACAAACGTTGGTTTTTTGATGGTTAAGCTGACGTATAGGCCGTTGCCATGGCAGCATGAATAAAACTAAACAGGCCTTTAAAATCGGTTTTGTTTATTTGTAGAAAATCTAGTTATTAGATTTTCTTTATAATTTGCATACAACAAACTTGTAACGATTCTCACAAGTTTACACCATTTTGCTAATAATTTAACAGAGA